GAAGATGATAAAAAAATTGACATAAATGGCCTTGATGAATGAATCGCATAAATATGTTAATGTAGATGACAAGTAAAACATTGGCGCTCGCGCAACGTCTGTAATTAGTGGACAAATATTCCAACAACGATGTTTTAATTGTGGTCCACTACATTGTTGCTAAGTTTCCACACTAAAGAAACTTTTAAAGTACCCTTTTGCCGAAATATACGCCCTTGGCTGTGAAGAGAGAGAGTATCCGGCCCACCGCCATATTTACTAACCGGAAGATGTACTATTTCACTACATCGCTAGATGTCGCTGTTCATGTTGCTCTTGGAAGCCCCCGGATGTACTAGAGGGCATGTATGGGGGTGATAGTGATTACGGATTACGCAAAATTTTCGCCGCCGATTACGAATTAAGTAAAATTCTCAGAGCAATTAAAACTTTATGCATTGAGGCTAATATAATATTACGAATTTCATTGATTTGGAGGGCGACTGCCAACGGATTACGAAGACTAAAATGATCCGATTACGCCTCAGGAAAAATGGCATGCAGGCTCTTACAACGAGCATTCCAGCTCTCAGGTACGTACCGTGCCTCAGTATTTACGCCATATAAATTAAAAAAAATATCAGCAATGTTATGAGTATTAGGCATAGAGTTACAGGAAAATAGTATAGCTAAAAGTACCATGGGCAAGGGTGATCAATCTCATTGTGCTTTGACGCGCTGTTTAACAATATTTAGTAGTCAAACTGACTGCCCCCCTCCTCTTTGGATTTACAAATGCGTCTAACAATCTCTTTTCGGTATGATCAAATTATGCAAGGCTAAGTTTCTTGCTTTAATATTAAAATTAATTACCGGCAGATGCTTGCCAATCTTAAAGTTTGTTCTCTGGAGTGTTTCTACCGTATCGCCTTAATTTTTTGTATTGATGCATAAATTATTATTTTCTTTCTTACAAATTTTCGCTGTCAGTGGGGGGGAGGCGGTACAGGCTTTTCATTCGTCGCCAGTATTTTGTTGAAAAAACTTTGAGCTTTCAAGCTATTCGGTTCACACGTAAATCTTTCCTGGTATCAAACCTATCTCAATTTCATCAAGAAATTTGAGTGTACTCAGAAACCTAAGAATTGTTCATCAATATGGCAACATATAGAAGCTCTCTCAGTAGTATATGGGCAATTTTGAAGACTTTGATGTGTTCTTTTAGCAACGAGAACTCAATATTTATGTGCACAGTTGCAAATTTTATGTTGAATCAAATTATTTGTCATCTCTTTCAGATGTGTCTTTGGCATTTGGATACCACAAAGCAATCAACCTATGCCACCATTCACTCAATACCAGCCTGTGCCACCGTGCACTCAATACCAGCCTGTGCCACCGTGCACTCAATACTAATGTGCCATTGTGCAGAACTTGCAGATTGTATACTGGATGAGTCCATGTCTCACGAGTGAATTATTAAAACCAGAAACTGTATCTTGCCCTGAAACCAAATATTCAATAAACAATCTGAACACATACATTTAGAATCTGTGTATACTTGTGTCACATTTCTTACATATAAGCCATTAATTGCCTTTGCCCACAATGTGTGAAGCTATACTATCAGGAAAAAAAAGGTAACAACATTTTCAGTGAAACTAGCAGAGGTGGCATGTGATTTTCTTGTGCAAAAGTACAATGGCGGCAAACGACAGCTTTTGTAAAAGCACTTGTTTATGAACATTCCCAATGTTTCTTTTCTAGCGCTCGGTGCCCTTATGGACCTCTCCTTAACCCTGCCTAGAGCCCTTCAGCAGTAGAAAACCGCACAACGTCAGCAGAACTTGTAGCTGACAGGTGCAAGCTGGAGTGTTTTCTAGTTACTCGAGACATCTCTGAACTTCCTTAAATGATCCCAGAAGCACCGTGGAAGACGTTTACGTCAGCAAGACGCGTGTTTGTCCGTCACTTATCCCTCCTTAGTGTTTACAAGCCCCTGTCAGAGCCAATACGCCATATGGCGCACTGGGAGTACGGCAAGTGTTGAGAAAACACCCTCTATATAAATATTGGCAGCAGTCCTGGTAGTTCATACCGGCACAAAGCAGGTAGACCCGTGCCAACAATGTGCCCGCAGGACGAACCAGCTGAACGATTTTCTTTCACCCTGTCATTACAAAACGACTGAAGTGTGTAGAGAAGATAACACTGCATTTCCTGCAAACATCATATTTCGCAGAATTAGCAAGAACGCAACCAGACACTCGTCTAGACGATGATGGTGCAAAGTACAGTAAATAATTACATTCCAAGTTCCTAACTCTGTTACAGACAGCGAAACTAAGTGCAATTTGGGACTAAGTGCATTTTGGACGCATAGAAATCTGAATAATGTATCTTATCAAGAAAGAGGGCTTTAATATTAAGCTCTGCTGATCCCTTCAAGCGCGTGCGAGTACTTACCAGTGGGTACCTGCTGTTGACGGTGATGTTGGCCGCCGTGTGGCCCACCCCCCTCCCCACTCGTGGTGCCAGGAACTGGGACTCCACGTCATCTATGAACTTCCCCTCGTTCATGAGCCAGACGGTCTTGCCTTCCTCGGCGAACAGGCGGACCCCGGGGGTAGCGAGCTGGCCCTTGGACCACATGGCGTGCGCGCTGTTGTGAACACGACCTAATAAAACAAACAGGTGCATCTTAGAGATATCACAACTTATCATATCTTGTCTATTTCTGTACCGAACATTAAGATCTTTAGACCCAGGAAGAGATGTACCGGAAATGAAAGGGATAATTTTCTCAAAAATCTTTTTGACAACTGACGTCGACGTAATATTGCAATATGTATAGTATGCATTCTAGATGCTGTAGCCCATGATTTGTCCTAACAGATACATGTTCAATGACCCAGGGTTAGCATTATAATTTCCCCTTAATCCAGTTTATCCCATAATCTCAAAGCCTGGTGTCCGAACCGATTGTAGTAATCTCTTTCGTCATCTCAGTTATTTGGGGAGGAGGGAGAGGACGAAAGAGACGCGGCCGCTAAAATCGGTTTGGATACCCGGCTAACAATCACAAAGTCTTTCGTTTCAAATTTCGTTTCAAATTTTCACAACCATCTAGCTTATTCTTTTATTTGAATGTTTTTGTGTCTTAATGTATTCTCAACTTTCACCGTGTGGGCCAATCTGCAGGCCCTACTGTAGGAAAATTACAATAGGCTCGGGCAAACCTTTTTCTTCTGCCCGTCGCGTGCAGAGAAAAAACAACAAAGCTTGGCCTTGTTGTGCACAATGGGGCCTGCTCCGATCCTGCTGCCAACCTTTTCCCCGGGGCGACCGTCCCTTCTGGGCCAAGTTCACGGGGTCAGACCGGCGACCCTGAAGCCGCGGCGTCTGGCTGGCTAATACTGGTAATCTCTTGTCTATGATCACTGGTACGAACGGGGAGAGGGCGAAGCTACGACCTGTGTTCTGTCGGCTTTGTACACGTGCCAGACACCGGGGGGAACGGGCAGACTGTTCGGATCAAGATTTTTCTTGGCACGAATGTGTAATAAGTGAGTAGATACAAAGCATGGTTAACATTACACTGGAATCGAAAACATTGTGCTTACACAACCCAACCCTGCACCCCAACGGGCCGCGCGGCATTGGCATTGTGAAGAGGATTGTCCGTTTTACACATGTCAAACATTGGTACTACTTGGCGATAAAAACGTGTTCTTATAAACTTTCCATGAGAGTTGCGAAACACAACTACACTTTTACAAGTTGCTTCTAACATCAAATGTGTCAAGAGGAACTCATGTGATATCCGCCATTCAAAGTACAAGTCAAGAAGGAAATAAGCCATTGCCGATGGTAAATGGATAATTGAATATTTTGTCGATTTGCTGTCAAGGAAGTGTCAAATCTCATGGACTCAATTTATGGCGCAAACTGTAAACTCACCGCCTTTGAACTGGCCCTTTAACAAACTACTTTTATGGGGGCAGTGAAGGGTAACGTTTGTGCATTACTTAAGTACGTAAATACGCCCAGACACAGCAATACAAGAATCTTTCATAGCTGGGCTCCTGTGCTCTGTGCTAAACTCCGTAGGTAATCCGTGTATGGTTTACATCTGTTCTGATAGGCAGCGGTGGGGCACTAGTATGGGATAACAAGGAGAAGAATACAAATACGGCAAGATGACGTAATCCTTTAAGCGCAAATCTATCAAGAAAAGATGAATCCCAACTAAAACAGAGTCAGGTAGTGCACGTGCTCACTCTGTCAACACTATACTGGCGTGTCATCAGATAATGAGTCCTTCTGTACTCATAGCTTGCGGATCTAACAGGAGCGGAAGTTGTGTTTATCTGAGGAGCAAATCTTTGTTTTTGCAATTAGCGATCTCCGTGAGCGCCCTGAGGGACCGGAGGGCATTCCCGCCACGTGCCGGGCGGTGAGAACTTCCGATACTCCGGGAGATTAGCTGGAAGCCTCCGTCTGTTGCCGTCAGTATTACTGTACTGCGGGAAAAGTTTGATCAAGGAGGTTAAACCATTTAAACCTCTTTGGTTTGATCCAACTAAAACATCCTTCTTCTGACGCATCTAAGCCGGTAAGCAGCTGGAATAAAAGAGGAAATGAGGACCTCTATCAGCCCCGTCCTTCACCGGTCGACCCAGGCCAGATCATGTTCACCTGACCCGGCACCACTTGACGCGGTGCACCACAGTGACCACGGTAAACCACATACAGATAAGGACTGTTAGTTCATTTCATTTCATCATTCATATCTGTCCAGTAGATTACACGTGTATCCTAAAACCTGACCTAGTGGCGTGGATGGGCCCTCAAGGTTGTACCCTCACCCCTCCTTAAAGGCTTTCAGCTAGAATACACACAGAATGTAGGACATAAACCCAGTAGCACGATTTGTTGATCCCTACAGACGAATCAATCTCTTCTCACGGTACTCCCGTATCCCACCGCGCACCTATCCCGTGTCATGTGCTGTAATGAACTGGACGAGCGTTTCGACCTTTACTAACAGGGACATCTGCAGTCACCGACCCAGACCTCTCCAATTTGTCTGCTCCGTGACTCTGCCGACCGTACAGCAGATGGGAGAAGATAGGGGAGCTAAGGTGTGAGGTCAGCGGCCGACCAAACACCCAGACAGGCATCCAGGGGCACTTCTACCGGCGGTGTGAGGTGACATGCACTGTGGGCTTCTTCTAAAGGTCAAACAATCAGACAGGGACTGGAGTCAAAATCGGTCATCATGATAGCCGGTATATCTGTATTAAGCTGCGCTGCAAGGCTAAGTTGTCACGTTTGATAAACATTCCTCTTCTTTATAGCTGTGTTAGCCTGTCTATGTTCTTTGTAAACCAACACGTACTTCATCCAGCCACACTTGGCCATCGCCGTCAGCAGTTTCAGCGCTTTATCTATACGAGAGGGATTAACTAAAGATAAAGTAGGTGTTAGATGGAAAATCTGAACAGCTGAATTTGGCATTGAGCCTCGTCGAAATGACGTGGGCACTGAGGAAGTTCAAGTTTAGGTTTCAACCTTGGGGTTGTTTACTCGACTCTACCTAACCCACATACTTGTAATCCCATGGATAGAGCAAGCTATAGAAGAGACCCCCTCAGTGTGCGCTACTTCACCCCGAGCAATTGGTGATGGAAGATCTGAGTTACCACCACAAATGATTGGAGAAACTTCCAAAGATGTTTGACGAGTAACTGAGACAGTGTAGGATGTAGTTAGCGTACCAACCTACCGCTGTGCCAGAGACAACAAACAAAAAGATTGTTTGAAACAGCGACTGTTGACCGTCACCGTTTGCACCCCTGTGGAAGGTTTGTTTTGGTCGGTCCGCACGGATGTTCAAATAAATACACACCCCGCAAAATTATTCACGAGTTGTGAAAAAAAAACCGGCAACATCAAAACAAAGACGTGGACAATAAATGGCGTCTTCACACTTCTCATTTAAGCACCCATTGTTCTTTGTTGTATATGGCGTACTTGTATGTTGGATCTACGATGTAAAAGTTTAGTTTGGCATCTTGATCGCATTAACCAGTGTACAAACACGGCTTTATGTTATCTCCAGACACTGCTACCAGAATACCCGCTACCAACACCGTAAGAGGACATGTGTGTGTGCGGCTTCGGGAGACTTACCGACCAGAGTGGACCACTGTGCAGGCGGCCGCCGCCGCGGATACTGCTTGGGGAAGCGCGCCTTGGTCCATTCGCCCTTGAACACCACGGAATATACCGGGTTCCCCCGGGCCGTACATCCCGCCGCGTCCTGCCGCAGCGTCGCCGCGCCAACCCCGCAGTTCAGGAAAGCACACAGTGCTAGAACCAACGTCCCCAGCCTCCACATGGCAGTTGTGTCCGTGTCGTGTGATATTCTTGACAGCCACATGCCTATTTAAAACGTCCTAGTTCTAGCAGTCAGTAGAGCCAGCTACCGGAAAGGACCTGGAGCATCTGGGCGCACTGAGACCCGTCTGTGGAACGTGCCATCGGTGGAAAATTGAAGGGGTGTGAAGGTTAGGGCGAAGGAAATATTTTCCAACGTTGCAAACAGAGGCTTTTTTCAAACATTCCGGACAAGTTTTTATTTCCTGATTAGATAAGAATAATCTATTACGTAAGTAATTTGATAATGGTCTCTACCATCACGTCAATTCCTCTTGTCCGACAGTGACATTTGTCAATGGCGACGAATATGTTTCGTAGTTATTACATTGCTAATTACGTAAGAAAGTCGACAAAATTATGAATCATTGTCTAGCACATGTGGCATACAAATCATTTTTCAGACTGCTCACGCATCCTTAACGCCCCCTAAAAGACGAGTAGGTTCTCCCGCAGCATGACCAGCCCACCTGCCTGGCACTGCAGATTTGGCAGTTCCAAAGTACAGGATGTGTCGGCGGCTCTGATTGGCACGCATTATACTCTGTGTGGAACCCCGGTGAACTTCTACAGGGGACAACTTTCTGGCACGAAACCAACAGTTCTTACACCAACGCTCGCCAGGAGAGAGAGAGGCTGCAACCGCAAATGACGGGAACATGGTGTTAAAAGCCGGGCTGTGAAAGACGTTCTGTTTGTATATGCTCAATTGTCCTACATAACAATGGTGGTACACAATACAAACACTTGAAGGTGATAATGACAAACAGGTACTATAAACAATTGTCGCCCTTCCTTTGTAGTAAGGACAGGGACCGGAGTCCCAGTGTGTATTGGGTACCCCAGACGAAGTCGTTCTCAGTCAGTCGGACTGGATTTGTGGATTGATATGATGCAATCAGTGACAATCTGACCTTTTAAATCACTCAAAGTAACCATTTTTACTCTGTAATTTTGCAAACGTTGTCCTTTGTTAGAATCATCCATATTCTTGGCCTTGAAACTTTCAGAGCCACATCTGAGGTTGTACCTGGTCGTAACTGCCACCTTCACCATGAGAAAATTCCTACCTTGACCATGACGGCCGCAAGATAGCTTAGTCAGCGTAACTAGAGTCAGAAACACCCTCTCAGGGCTAGACCAGCGTTCTTCAATGTTGAGCGCCCGATAGTTAGACATTTGGCATCTCTGTACTTACTGAAATGACGTATGAATGAAACGGTGACAGTGGATGATTTCGTCATCGCAAAGAGCTGCATCGCAAATGACGCACGCAGACTTTTTAAAACTGTGACATCCGTTTATCTCAAATACGTGCTTGTCTGCTTCTGAACTGACGTGACTGAGATGTTCCGTAATTTTAGCGCACTATGCCAGAATGAATTTTTCTCAATTAAACGATCTACTCTCAGACAATAGCTGTAGGTATCCGTGTCTTTTAAAAAATCTGCACTAAGTTGGCTGTAAAAAAAAAAACTTTTGTTACCAAAGAACCTGAAGTATTAACCTTGAGGTTTATCTGGGCATGTTTGGTATGGACAAAACGTGCGTCACACCAAGTCCAAGGAGAACAGGTGATAATACTACGCGCTTTAGCAACCGATTCTTATCTGATTCTTAAGTACCGCGGTTATAATGTTAATGGCATGGGACGCAGGGGCAACATGGACTGATAAAGGAGTCGACACAATTCGATATATGTAATAATAACCTGAGCATTTGATATAGGCTGAACATGAGCAAGCCGAACACACAAGTACAAGATGACGTGCATTAGTTTCTGAAGTAACTCGAAACGTGAAGGCTAACAGCCTTGCTTTGATTTACATATTAATTCTGTGACGACACACGGTCAAAATATACTAGTATATCCCAAATGGTATATAAAGTGATGTCATAAAACTCGCTGTAAAATAACAGCGCCGCCTGTCAGACTGTTCGTTCACTGCACGCTGTGCAAACCTGCTGTCCTCTGTTTGACACCAACTAGGTTGACTCTACGTTAATGATTGACGCTGAAGTCGGGACCTTGGGCCGACAACTGTGGTATGCCAGGCGAGTGACCCATAACGTACCAAGTCCTAAAACTGGACCAAATATTCTGCTGAAATAGTAATCTCTGCGCAAACCCGATGAATTAGTCTGGGCTGCAGATCCTCGCCACGACTGGAATGATTGGCACCCGGAATGATGCATATATTAAACATTGCGCTACATATAGGATCAAACAACGCAATCTGTGGCTGTAGATACAAGTATGTGTTCCTGTGTCTGCCTATTGTTTCGGCGTCTGGCTGTCAGATTTCTGCCATGAGGAAGTTGGTGCGGCACACCTGTCTGGCATGCGTCCTCCTGAATTCCATGAATCTTATCAGTTTCACTCCTATACAGTCCTCTTCAGTCTACGGGTTTTGCCAGCTAGATAAAATTCTATAGCGGCTTGCAATCTAATTTTCCACCACAGTGTGCATACTGGATATATTCATGTAATTAAAAAAACGAAGGAAGAAGATTACAACAAGGAAATTCGTCTACCGAACGTCTGTTTCTCTATCATTTGAATACACGCTGATTTCCAGATCTTGTCTGTCCGGCCATAAACATAGAAACAACAGAATTTTAGTGCAGTGACATCAGCAACAATTTGATAAGATCAGTAACCGTGGTTTGCAGCTGGGTGTGGATTGGTGCAGTTTTGGACGCCTACGTTAAAGGTCGCAACCTTCAGTGACTCATGATTTAAAGGTCGCGTGACTTTAAGCCAATCATAGTCAACAACCCACGCCTTTCTGCGTCTTGATTGGCTGATACCTGAGTGACGTAGGCAATCAGTTGAAGAGGAACAGTTACACTTAAGGCGCGAGCGACGACTGGCCGTTACAGACGACAGGTGTTTTTCAAAGCATGGACATGGAGACGGTAAAAGTTGTGAGTGTTCTGGTGGCTCTGCTGAGCTGTTGTAGTGTGGAATCACTGCAGCCTGATGGCAAACATGTGTGCAGCCGTGTGAGGTAAGGTGTCCAAACAGTATGTGTGTAACATCATGTATTTCAACATCATGTATGTGTGTACAGGCCAGGGATAACACGACTTCGGTCCTGAGAAATCATTTGTCTGTTTTCATACCTCCTGATCCGTATGAGGCTGGGTATGCATATGTATATGGAATCATCAATTATTGCTGTATGTACAGGTGAACCGATGCCGGCGCATACGAATTTACTAAATGTGTGGAAACTGTGTTATGTGTTAACTGTGTGGGTATGTAAGTCAGAAATCACAAAACACCAGGTAGGACTAGTAACAATTTTCTCAAGTAGCGAACTGTTCTAGATTTGATACCAGACTTGTCTAGTTGTAAAAAATAAAACCACAAATTTCATTTTGCCAGTAGTTTATGATGTTGCCACACCCGACAATGATATCGATCCAGCGGGTACTTAAGTCTTACAACCAAATAGACATAGAAAGCAGGTGTGCTTGTACCATACGTCTTCATGAAATGATTTTTTTGTATTGCTGGAAAATACCTCTGAGTCTAAACCTTACATTTGAGTCTAAACCTTACACTCATCCCGGGGACTGGAAAACGTACGTTACAAGGTGATCTCGCAATGTCGCACTTCAGTTAGTTTGAACGTTTATAAGTTACACATAAGAGCAAACATTTGGGATCGGGGAGGGTGAGGTCATCTATTTATTGTCGCGCGAACACAGACTGTTATCGAACTACATTGTACTTGTTAGTTATGTCAGGATTTTGCCGATACTATGTGATATTATGATGGAATGCCGTTCTGGATTGTTTGTATCCTCTATTCTCGTTAGGTGTGTAGGAATCTTACTTCAAGCATTATTTCCCACCACGTCAAACAACAAACAGGCCTTTATACAATTGCAAATAGTCCTTTTCGACGATCTCTAAATTCAAAGGAATTAGTGTCACGATAGAAAATCGTATCTCTATGTGAGTCATTGGAAAGACATGTCAATGCGTGCCCAAGCTCAGCGCATACCCCACTCATAGTATACACACCTATACACACCTACGCCTGGCCAGACATGGGTGTATATTTACACAGGCGTTCAGCGGCTTTTATGACCCGTGATGTATGTTTATATGATGACTGTTTCCTCTCGAGCTGAAAGCGAATTCAGAAGGACGCCGTTTCCTACAGAACGTGAAAAGGAAATGACTACATTCGATAAAGTAGCAAAATTTACGAGTCATTGTGCATACGACACCTTCCTGTAATTGTGGAGGTGTGAACGTCGCCGTACGTCTGTATTGTAGTCTGTAAAATGCCCTTGCATTTTGTGCACGGTTGTTACTATTGTATTACTCGGTTTTCAATTAAGTGAAAGTTAACCGACAGAGGCAGCCGACTACCAGAAACTGGCCATGAGAAACGACTGTCTGTCTGTACGTTACTTTAACCACTTCAGAGGTCTATATAGAGATCATACAAGTGTAGACAGGAGGTCAGTAGAGTGTACATCACATCAACCATGCCAAGGAAAGAAGAATACAATCCCCTTTATGGGCCCGTCTCCTTAATGTTGCGTTGCAAACAGGCAAGACTAAGCCGTACACAGCATGACAAACAGATTTGGACAGATCCTGAGATTGTGTGGATTTTATTACATCTTTGGCACGGTCTCTTCATCGTTTCCTGCCTACACCTTTTGTACACTTTCCCGGTCAAGTATAACGCCAAACGGCGCCGACCTGTCTCCACAACGATACAAAAATGAGCTTTTTTAAGGAGTGGTTTCCCGGTAACTGATGCCCCCCTCTGGCGTTCCTTTGAGTGTGCGTCAGGCCAGTCACATTGATGGCCTTTCGATTGATTACTAATTATAGGAACCTGGCCTTTAGAACTTCACCTGGTACACGTATGCAGTAGTCAAACCTCACCCTAGTAACTGAATGGGTGAAGTGATTGTTCTTTTGTTATTCCTCGCTTCTTATAAGTCAAGGACGAATCAATAGACCGTTGGGTCAAGGTGGGTGGAGGGGGAAGGTCGCTTGTTTATTATATAATAACTTGTGCCCACGATATTAGAAGATTGATTGTAACAAACAGATGGGAGAAAAAACGGAAAAGAAAAAAAAAACATTGAGTCTTCGCAAGATCTATAATATAGTCATCAGCTTATTTCCAGCTTAATGCGTCCTCACAGGTTTTCACATGCAATTTGGGGCCTGTAGTGTTAGAAAAATCCTTTGCCGTAGAACTAATGTCGACGCTGCGCCGGCATAGGACCGAAGTTGCTCTTACCAGAGGTAACCTGTAGTAGTACATTATCATCATCTGTTCTACCGTTGTCTGTTCCACCACAGAACTACCGAAACGGGACTGGTGGAGGATCTGGTGTGCTGCCGTGGTTTCGTCCCAACCTTGGTCGGTGACAAGGAGGAGTGTGTGGGAGGTGTGGTTCCGCTCTTCGCCGCTGTCTGCGGCCAGCCGGCGGACGCTGGCCCGTGCGAGGGGAGCCACCGGCGCTGGTACTTCGACGCCAGCAGCGGGGAGTGTCAGCAGTTCGAGTACGGCGGCTGCGGGGGGAACCACAACCGCTTCCACAGCAAGAAGAGGTGCCAGAGGACTTGCGGGGTGAAAACCGAAGAATCGCATCGTAAGTGAAGGTTCTCAAAATAGTGCAATCTGATCATTGTTTGATATTGTCCAGTCTACATTTTCCTTTTTCATCTGAATCACTAAATCTACCTCTTTTCCAAAGAAAAGTCAGATAATAACGTTACCATGTAAAATTTTACGTTTGTGGCTTTTGCATAAGGCAGGCATCACTGGTAATGACTGGTACCAGTCTCAAGAAAAGGAAGGTTATGATTTGCCTTTAGGTCGCGAAAAGGCTGGCTAATACAGCCTGAGCTAATAGAAGTTACGAGGAGAGTCAAATTAAACGTAAGCACCCCAAGTACCACTTGACAGCTGACCTTGTTTAATGTGGCGATATTCTGTAAGCTCCACAGACCACGACAGGGCATCCTTTGGTAATGTGTGGATCATGATTATCTGTTCCCTATTGACCACCCTCATACCGCTCCTGTAGGGAGGATCGTGACGGACGTGGGAGCGGAGGATGACGTGTGTTCTCAGCCGATGAAGGTGGGGATCTGTAAGGCCGCCGTGCCGAGGTTCTACTTCAACTCTGCGGAGAAGAAGTGCATGTCGTTCGTGTTCGGAGGCTGCAGGGGCAACGGGAACAACTTCGTCACCATGGAGGACTGCGAGTCCACCTGCGCGGGGAAAAGTGAAGGTGTGAAGCCCGGTGAGTGTGGGAGGGACGGACAGAGAGGGGCAAGGAAAGGATGAGTCGAAAGTTAGAAGGAGAGAGAAGCGAAAAAGAAAGCAAGAAGGGGAAATGATTTCTAACAGTATTGATAATTAATATTCTTGGAGGAAGTGATGTATGTTGTATTTTTGGTGCCCTGTGATATAGTTTCACAGCAAGTGGTGAAGTCACTAGATGAAAAAGTTACTGTATTTCTTTTTTCTCACCTCTTCATTTTCAGTTGCTAATTTTAATTCATGTTTAAAGCTCCAGCAGCCCAGGACTCGAGACTTCGGAGCGGCAAGGCTGACCCGACCCCCAAGCCTGTCCCCGTGTCCGATGACGCCTGTCTGATGCCCGTAAAGAAGGGGCCCTGCAAGTCCATGAAGACCCGCTTCTTCTTCGACGAGAGCCTGGGTCGATGTGACCAGTTCGTGTACGGAGGATGCAAGGGGAACAGAAACAACTTCCTGACAATGGCGGACTGCCACCAGGTCTGCAAAGGTGGGTGTATTGAAATACATACCGGAGTGCAAACAGATTGTTATAGTCAGGACCAAGGTAGTCAGTCCAAGGAGGTTTAGAATCGCCTTCTTGGTCAGTCAAAGCACGCTAAGCAGTTTTTGATACCAAAACATTTCAACAGCCCCTAAGATAAAGCTACATAGGAATAGTTATGAACATAAAAAATTCATCATTGAAGATACAGCCGAAGGATACTACTGACGGAGATCACGGAGATCAGAGACTTTCAAAAGTCCAATTAAACCATAGAGGTCAGGAAAATGTTCCAAATAAAGAAATCACATCTAAGATATCCATACTGACATTTCTGTAACATCTGTACATAGACCATATCCACGCCACCTGCACCCTGCCGATGGAGAAGGGGAACTGTAAGGGGTCCTTCCAGCGGTACTACTTCGACCCGTCCAGCGCCCAGTGCACCGCCTTTATCTTCACGGGCTGCGGCGGCAACAACAACAACTTCGTGTCCATGTACGACTGCGAGAGCGCCTGCATGTTCGACACTATCGACAAAGCACGAATGGACCAGGTAGGCACTTTTAGTTGGAGTTCTTTTGCCAAAGATTGAACATACTCGGGCATTGCATTTATGTTGAGATATAACTATCATTATCTACATGTTGAATATGAAAATGGCTGTACATTTGCCATGATCTCTTTCTGGTTTACATGATATAGTGCAACGATACACATCCCCCAACTGAAAACTGCAGTCTTTGTAACTCTGTGGTTCAACGCGTTTGTTTCTCTGTTCAGTACCGTCAGAATCAGCATGACCAGAAGGACGACCCGTCTCTGCCGGGCCGGAAGATCGGCTGGTGGCCGGCTATCCTGGTGGTCGGGCTGGTGTTGGTGGCTGCCATCATCGTGGGCGCTGTCCTGTGGCGCCGGAAGGCTCGCGCCGCGAACATTAACAGGTATGGGAGGGTGCTTACTGTACATCTGTGAAACATGTAAAAACGTGTGTGTCGCATTATGTTGAGTCTGTTTTAGTGCTTTTTATGTTTTGTTATGGGCCATTTTCCCGGGAATAAAGGTAGTTGATTTGTTTATCAGTTTGTTGCAGACTTGAGTGACGATAGATCTATTGTCTTTGTTTGTTTGTTTCATTCCATTTTGTTTGTTTATCAGTTTGGTTGTTTGTTTGTTTGTTTGTTTGTTTGTTTGTTGTTTTGGTAACACAATGTGAAGCAGTCCCTACTTTCCGTTTGCCAGGACCCCTAAAGGCGTAAGACTGGAGGACAGAGGAGCAGGTACAGTAGATATCCCACCAGACATTCAATTGGCTGCTTGCTTGCTGCGCCAAATCAATCTTCACTCAGCAAAAAAAAGATGAATTGCGTTAATCAGGCCAATCGTACTTCTCACCAGATTGTCTGCAATATCAATCGTGCTAATCTTTTGTGATCCTGACTTATAATATGCATTGGTCTAGACTGAATCTCTAGACCGATGTATTGTGTCTTCTTGCTTACAAATGAAATGGGCATGCGAGTAACAGAATGTCTGAATGACGCGAAACTACCGAAGCAGAGTTGGCTGAAAAGCACCCATTTTCTTTCAAAATGATTGAAATAAATGGTTAATTTGTAGAAGGGTGAAACGGTGAAGACATAAGAGACAATTATTTTTTTATGAAAAAAAAAGAGTCGGGGTGTTGACGTCACAGACAGCACCATACTATACAATACCTTGACACAAAAATTAGCAAACGTAGTTCACCCCTCGTGAAATGAATGAAGAAAATGTTGCCTAAATTGTGTGACAACCAACGTCATACATCCCAGGTCAGTCTCAAGACTGACTTCATTCCTTTAAGAGTTCTGATGCTTAAAATCTTAGAATTGTACATGTCCATAATTTGCTTATTGACACTGCTGAATATGTGTACTTTCTTGTGTGTCACTGTCTTGCCGTTATACATGGAATTGTATTTATAAGTCATAGATTTAAAGAGCAATAGTGTTCGTACCATACTGACATATCTTTTTCTTTTCCTGTTCTTACCTCAGGGCCAGACGTTACGCTTACAAATGAGGAAAAGACCAAAACAACCGTGGCCTGAGATGACTAAATAGCCAGCGAAAATATATCAGGCTGAAATATGTACTGCAAGAATGTATTTCCTTTTGTTTGCTCGCAGTTTCTTGCATTTGAAGTCAATGACATGTTGATATTCAATATCCGCGCTTTAATAGACGAAGTAGGTTGCTAGATGATTTCGCTTTTGTGAAACAAAAGAAAACCAAATGTTGTAATGTTGCATTACTACACAACGTTTGTAAGTTACCATGTTGTGTTGTTATTCTTGTACATGCAATAAGAGTACGAAGTGTGAGTTGTCAATTTGTAGTACTGAAATTTTGGCTGTATATGAAAATCACAAGATCACATCATGAGGATCATGAGGATTTGGAGCTAATATTCTAGCCTAATGTCAGAGCTGCTTCTAGATTCCTTGTCAGCAAGTGCTACCAGTTTTCCTGTTGGTGAATACTTTGACATGGAATCATTTTCTACTCTCACTTTCTGTCAAGCACGCTGTCTGTTGTCTTTGAAATACATGTATACTAACTTCTTGCAAATAACAGCATATCCAGTTGCCCATAGTGAATTTTTTTCAAGGTTACACTCAGGATGTGATCCACTGAATGTTGCATGTGTAGTTCTATGTTGCATTTTTTCATAGTTGGTGAAAAACTGTTTGAATTTTTCCGGTTCTGTTTGCTGTCATATTTCTACTCGTGGAATGAATAAATGTACAAAACACATGAATGTGCTGTATAGTGTTTTACTCTGATTGATGATGTACATATTACATAGCAACAAGTGCTTCAGATTGTATGCCGGCTATTGTATGCGATGTATACGTAGATGTAAATTCATTACATTATGTATCACCTAGCTGGTGGTGGTGCCAAAGGGACCCTAGTACACTGTATATTAACTCCCAGTTTTTCACATTGACTCCATTTATTACGTAATTAATTTCGTAAGTCATTGATGATATGTATGGATCAGTAATACACAATGTTATTGGTATCTAGCCAAATCAATAACATTTGAACAGTCCCACTCAAATTCAATATTACACGATAGGCACATACATCTCAACGAACTCGGCGTCAGTCATAAATTGTAGTTTACAGAGATGTAATTCACCTCGTACGCGTCTTACATCGTTGTCTCTTCTTACAAAGTTGTCTTCCGATTGTCGATGTCTTGGCACTCTGTGCTGCTTATTCAGGGTCAATGGGGGCGTTGTCTAGACTCACGACTCAAGATGATCGACAAATAGTCTAAAGCATCTGTGTTATGCCCATCCCAGCTGCCTATCAGTGTGTACAGACGATAGACGGTGGCAGTGCCAGTAGTATGATTCCGTCTTTTCCACTTCATGAGCATGTGGAAAACCCTATCCCTGTGCAGCTGGTGATCTGATTTTATTTGGGAGAGATCTACATGTTTTAATTCCAAGCTTCTGCCTAGCGATTCCCAGTCATCCCCAATGCGAGTAGACAAGTCATTAAGTTGTTTTTCTGTCACCGTTTTCGACACGGTCGTTGAAGGTTCCCCGGCAGAGAGTGCTGGCCTCTGTGTCATGGCTGTGGAGAAGGAAAATCGTAAATAGGTACGTGACTTTGACATCATGCTTGAATATTCACTACTCAGGCCTTGTGATGGGGCCACATATTGTATGGAAAACTAAATGGCAAATGTGTCCCGACCAGACGCAAGGCTGTCAAAAGAACATAATGGTCGCCTTTCCATGGTATGTAAATTAACACATGACGTTGCTTTACTATTCTACAAAACGTGCATAACTTAGTTGACTCGCGGCATTATTAAATGTAATTGTAATAATGAATTTTGTTTTGTTGGTACTTATAGCTTACCTGCTTCGTGTTCCTTCGCGTGAGGAAACAATTTGGCGATCTGGACAAAGTGAAAAATGATGAAAGTTCATGGATTTCAAGTTCAGTCACTGGATTTCAAAACATAGCTATTTTAAATTTGCATAAAACATCTGGTCGCAATACAGTGAGTAGATCGGACAGCATGGCTCAAACCAGTCTGTTATAAGCAGTGCATGCTTCACGTGGCCATGTACTGGTAATTCGATACAGATACATAAAAATAGCAGAGAAGGACAGTTACACTCTTTACCTTTTCAACAATGGCTTCAATGTTTTCCACTCTATCCTCCAGTCTCCTACCGTGTCCTGCACGGCCAGTACTTTGTTGTGCTGCTGGTTCCTGGTCTCGGTCTGTCCCGCCCTTTCTCGGCACTGCCTGGCCACCTCTCTGTTCCCTGCGGTATTACAATTTTAGCCGCGTTACAGCCAACAATTGTTCACGTTACAGCAACAGACTTTGTTCACAACTTGATAGGTCGATGGATAATTGAAAGAAGATTTTTTTGACAGGGATTGTTTGTTATTAATCGTACCTGTAATAGGGTTATGTCGTTACCTATGGGTGCAGCTGGGCATCTCCTTAAGATCGATCTTTCAAGTCACCGATTGTCACCAGCTCATATATTAAGGTGTTCGTCGGAACAAAAACTTACCTTGACGTCTGGTTTCTTCCTGTATCTCGGTTTCTGTTGCTGTTGCGCGGCTGTCCCAAAACCACAGTCCTAGGCCTCTGCAAAACTCTCGCGCCGTCTTGAAAGCTACTTCTTCCTGAACTTCTTTGGGCGCTTCCACGTAGACGCGAGAATTCTGGATCATCATCACCGCCAATGCATTCTTCAATTTCCTCCTCAGAGTCACTGTCTACCTCCTTGTCGGATAAAGCCACCGTCTGGTGCACTGGTTTACCATTACCAAGGCATTCTTCAATTTCAGAGTCACTGTCGGACTCTTCGCTTTTCCTGTCAATGCCAATGCACTCGTCGATTTCTTCTTCAGATTCACTGACGCCCTCCTTCCTTTGGGCTGGTTGGTTTGTCTTGTTCTCATCAAAGCATTCCTCGATTTCTCCCTCAGATCCGCTGTCATTCTCGTGTGGTGACAACCTTTTCTCATCTTCGCTGCCTCTACTGTCGTCAGATTCAAAGTCCGCAATATACGATTCTTCATCGAAGTCATCATCATCATCATAGTCAGAAGCTTCTTCAAAATCGTCCTCGTAGATATCATCTTCATCATCGGCGTCCCCTTGTTTGCTAGCGTTTTCCCTGATGTCTTTCCACTCATCAATCTGTGTCCGCAATGCATCTAAAGTGAATAAATAAATAAATTAAGTCATTCTACTCTTTCTATTCTATTCTCAAAGTTGTAGAGAAAGCATTTATCAATTACATGCCGATAATCCCAGTTATGCTTGGCATTAGCGAATAAGAAGATGTCAATTTCCTACAAAGAAACTAAATGTTGACTTTTATTTAGAGCGCTCAAACGTCATGCTGTATTGCTGACGCCATGGGCGACGGGAGTTGTAATTACTGTGAAATAGGGGTAAATATGCGCGAATATGACGGTCATGAACAGGTTAGCTTTTGCTACCCGTTTGCACATAGATATAAGTACACATAATGTAGTGTTACGTCACTCCATATCTTTTGCCAGACGTTCATCTTGTACTATATGCGCATACGAAATTTGCCATTCGACTGACCAAGTAGACCAAGAAGTGCCGAGTTCTCTTCTCGCTTCTCTCTCAAAGTTGTGTAGACCAGTCCAAGGACTTCTTGCGCAAGTGAGGTTGTGCATCCAAGTTGCTGAAGTCCGTAGAACAGGATGGCCCTGACCTTATCCAAAGGTTGTCGGTTCTGCCGCTTACATCGCTCGATGACATCGTTTCCCAAGTGCAAGCACTTTCCGAGTTGTTGTAAGACAGCTTTTAGTGACGCTATCTGTGATAGGAGGTCGAGCAGCTTCCACTGACCTGCAGGTAGCGGATTTGTATAGTTCTTTAGATAACATATGGTTAAGTGATGCAGGGTTCAGAAATATGACAGAAGGAACACATCATTTGAGCGCTGACGGCCTAGCCGTATACTATGAGTCTCCTGTTAGTTAACAAAATATCACGCAGAATGTGGGTAATGGTAACTATTGCATCGTCAGAACTTTTCACAAACTTATTTTTATGAAAGAAACAAAAACACCCTGTCTGTGCATAATGTATGAGACTTACTTCTATACATACGTAACCCTGGGTAAGTTTCGATCAGATCTGCCAGTATGCCGAGTCCAAGTCTGTGACGGAGTGTTTGGCAGAACTTGATGAGCTTCTTTTCGTCTTCTTGGTCGTACCCAGCAAGTATGTGTTTAACCTTGGCCGAATAGCTCAATACTCCTTTCTTACGTCTCAAGTCGTACAATAAGTTGTGGTCGAGGATCCCTGCTACTTTAGTCAAGACGTCCGCATTTGTATGCTGACTAGCAAATGTCAGGCGTCTGATGATCATCTGTTTGTAGAACCTTATAGCCCTTTTCAAATTGGGTTCCATGATTTTGGTTCCTTGGTTCAATATATCTAAAAAAAAGGAACAGTCGTAGGCATTATCGTCACAGACCGTTGTGTGCAGCAAGTAAGATCTAACGTTACATAGGGGCATAGGGGATCAGGTGCAGGAATGTCTATGTTTTGTGCTGTTTTTTTTTTGTTCGTTTGTTTTGTATGATCCAACAAATAAGTTGTTGAAACGTGTGATCTAATCATGGCCCAGCAACGAAAAATGCGCTGAAAACCTTCGCAAATCAGAAATGCAGCGTTCACCTTTGGAACGTGTAGGCATTGATACATGACATGGCAAACCTGTTTGTGAAAACGCCGATCGAAGGTTACCGACAATGCTCACGTAGTTCAAACAGGCTGTCCGCAAATATCTGGCTACTAATCACTTGACATTGTGAGCTTTCGTTGAGTCTGATGTTAGCAAAAAAGAATTTATTTACGCACGATCTGTCATCGATCATCAAGTTCATCGAATATGTGCTGTCTTAAAGCAGGAAAACCGCCATGCATATCAGCTACTTCCGCGTCAAATTATTTACTTTACCCTACAGCTTATGGCTGGTTGGCTGCGCGTTGAGTTGAAGTCGGCGTTTGCTGACAGATATATGTTACATTCTAATTTTGAAATCAAGCGTACATGTTTACAACTGTGTGGGTGGAAAGATCAAAACAATTGACTTGTGTGTTCAGCTTAAGCCTACATACAGATCGAAATCATCTTACCAGGTGTCCGATGGAGGGAGAGCTGTCAGAACTGCACCATATGCGGAACTAACTTGTGGTCACGTTACCCACGCTAATCGCGAGGTCTGCTGGGTTGTTTGGGCTATGGGTAGACGTCACCTGGAGAAGGTGCACTAGGTCACCAAGTTGAAGTTCTAGATCTTTTGTACTTATCTTGAGACTCTTTGCTTTGCAACATAGAGCGCATGTGTCTTAGTCTTCTTTTCGAGTGTTTTCTACTGACTTGTAGAAGGTTGTCAGTGGTACTTGTTGTACTCATACCAGTTCCCAATCGATATGGGTGTGTCAAACAAACAAGGATATAATAGCTGTACATGTATAATTGACGCCAGGTTTGTACATTATAGCATAGTAAAGCCTGTCAAGTGTAGGTTCTTATTACCCCTTGGTAGTATGTGCTTTCATAGCTTTCATAAGTAACATTGAGTGTGCACCATTCTTGAATAGATTGCTTTACGCTGAATGGTGTATCTGATATAATATGCAAGTACAAAGTAAGGGATATATCACACTACATAAGACTATAATATGGCGGCGACAAACATTCCAATAGTTAACGTTTAGTCACATACCTGAAGTTGGGTGAATCGGTTATCGCCATGCGTTCATATTTGGTCCACAAATCCCGAGTCTTCCGGTACAGAGGTTGCAGCGGGAAGTTTGGAATGTTTAAAGCAAGAACACAATCTAAGAATGTCAATATAGAACAGCCTCAGGGGCGTTATGCAGCCAATAGCAATAAAATGCTCTCGTGCCCTTCAAACATTGTAAAGTAAAGTAAATTTACTCCCCAAACATGTGTGGAACCCGTTGTTCTTGGGGTGCTACATGGCTTCTGTAGGAAATACCGAATACATGACGGTACTTTGGTTTGGTTCTCCTGTTTATGGCCTACTGATTTATAAAAGAGGTGGTTCTTTAGAACTATTAAGCAATAAGGATTGAATGATTGATTGATTGATTGATTGATTGATTTGTTAAGTACCATTGGGTCTGATTAAGACGAAACGTCTTCAAGTACCCATTTGGACAACGGATAAGTTGCTGTCGCGCTCCTAACAACTCCAATACGCACGAGGAAATAGGAATGCGGACTTGCCAGGACTTTCCTCTACATGTACATGTTGCTGCCGCCAGAAGGCGCTATCTGATCACGTTCTCACAGGAAGCACAACTTTTGGGAATTGTGAAGTTGAATCAGGGAGTTGGTGAGGTGTGTGAATTAGAGTTGTCCATGACATGTAAATCACTCGTTGTTATGTGAGTCACTTATCTCCGGGCTTTTAGCGTCGCATGGAGAATTATCACATTAAAGTCTCAGAGGGATCGAAGTAACAAGATTGATCTAATAAACGCCTCAAACGGAGTACAGATGATGCTATTGTCTAACGACAATTAGATTACACCTCTACAATATGAACTTCCAGCCGACAAGTTGACTCCACTAGTACTTATTTATTATGAGTAATGTCAAGGTTTCCTGGTTGATGTTATGATGGTTTGGGTATATTGGGACTGTCGGTGTGAACATAAAACTTGGTATTTATAAATGTTACAACAAGCTTACGAAGAGAAGTAAATGATATGAGTTTGCGTAAAATCTGAAGAAAAATTATCAGTAGGAAAGTCCAAATTATCATCACTGCGAAACAAGAAGACGTTGAATTGAACAAAAGCGGTTTCTCTCTGTTTCTTTTTCACAATATCCACTTTTAAATGCTGTAAGGTATGTGGATTACTAATGGCTGCAATATAACCTTGAGCGCAGGGGGCGTCACTTAATGGATAGAACGGAACGCTGAAAGAACGGCAGTGGTTTGGTACACCGTCTTCGTAAACAATACTTCAAGTTTGTAAACAATACTTGCTCACCGTCGTCGTAAATCTGTAAACAAGGCAATTTACTACTCACACGACACAACTACAGTTCCAGACAAATAGAGAATAATTTATTAAGAAACATTTCAGTTTCACATAATGTACAAATCGACATGGCAACATCGTTCAAAAAACAGATACACTCTCAGTAGCCAGAGTCCGAAATAAACTCGACACCAAGTTATAAGAATACATACATAATGTATCTGTGGCATCAGACTGCAATCCATGCATGCATGCATCTTCTTGCTATCGCATATAGTGCTATGTTTAAATTGCACTGGCTTGTCAATCAGAAATAGAAGCTTCATTTGGATTAAGACACGAAAAACCAAATTCTTTTCAAACAGTCACACACAGATTTGTTAATATGTGCGCACTACAAAGTAAGCTTGTTAATATTGACATATTGACAGTGTTCAATCAATCAACTTAAGGTTATGTTCAAATCTCTGTTTTTGTTCTTTACAATTATCGTACAATACTTTCTGTTGAATATCATTACTGTAAATTGTGGTCATCGGCTCAGATATCAATCTATTCATACCTGTAAACCACAGATCTCCCTTTAGTGTGACAAGTCTACGTTCCTTATCCCCGTAAATAAATTAATGCCCCTCCTTTACATCGGTATCCGGTTTCCAAACATATTCGAGCAATGTTAACAAAACAAAGTCATGTTTATCACTCAATGTAGAAAATAAGAGACTTCTTTTTAACCTGTACATTTTAAAGCAGTACTTTCAACGGTTTGCAATCGTAATCTGACAAAAAACTTGAAATGAGGCAAACATCGAAAGTGATCGTTGACGTGTATGTGTACAGACGTCTACATGTATTAGTTTTTTTTTTCTTGTACAACAGTCCTTTTTCAAAAGCTTCTCCAACCGTTAGCCTCAGACCCAGTCCTGTTTGGCTTTAGATCGCGCCAATCGTGGCTTTTCGTTCAGGCGCGATGGCTGGGTAGCAACGGGTGGAGTCGACTAAAGCTGACCAAGCCTGGGTCTCAGGCTAGCGATCACAGCATATAAGGCAACAGTACGTTTCTAAGATTCTATTAACATTCTCCTGGTTAATGAGCTGACATTTCCACAAGCATGTTACATGTTCTCCTATATGTTCATTAATGAAAAGAATCTACGCTATATAGTCTTGTGATTATTGAGATTCAGAAGCTGCAGCATCTTTTGATTATTTACATTGCTATCAGCCACTTTTCGTTCTTCATATCCAAAAAAATACGTCAGGCTAACACAAGTGTCCCTAATATGGGTGACTCTATTGGATTAATACCTATTCTGTCGACCATTTACTGTTCAAAATGGTCAGATGGCTTTGAAGAAGAAAAAAAGCCTCAAACGCGGCTTTCGCTATTCATAGACTGGGTGATTGTTTGTGATATTTAAAATCTGACCAAGGACACGCCTACCCTTTTACACGATGGACCAAAAGTATGTGACAATGTCTTAAATGTATCTCGAGCTCGCTATCTTTCTTCCCCATGTATTTCTCTGTGCCTTCTCATTCTACTTCACAGAAGGTATAAAAAATAAAACATCTGTTTTAGTTGATGTAGACGAACATATACGCATACGCTAACTAAACCAGATACACACCACTAGTTAACAATAAATGACAACGCTAACTAGAACGTACAACGCTAACTAAACACTAGAACTCGATGTTTAGAGACCCCAGTCGTGATAATAAAAAGTAGGAGGTCGGGTAAATACAGACTTCGTAACATTGGCAAAAACAACAGTTGCCAAAATTTTTCTTCCCTTTGCTACTTACAAAAGACACATCCTTCCTTTCTCACAAAACTCTTGAAAACCCGCAAAACTCGCTCTGTGCTGCGTCCGAACAGAAATGAATAACCATAATGATCCTTTTCTTGTTAAATCTATGTTTCAAATACGCGGTCGGTGACTGCATTTCAACAGAGCGTAATAGATATCATCGAGGCTATGTCGACTACGAGGACACAAAGAATGGAAAATGTCCACTGAACAGAAACCTTGAAACATCGACTTGATGAGGCAGACCAGAACATGTTGGAAAATTGACAACACTAATCGGGTGTACGGTCTTCAAAAATAGAAGAACATTGGAACGCGTGCACACTTGTACAAGTTACAAGAAGTCACAAGTAACTATACGATTAGCGGTTGTCAGATACATCATATAGAAAGAGTAAAATATTTCCTCTTTGTTTGGACACTTGACTGTCATCATGCACGTCATTGCACTCGGAGTTATTGGAGTATTATGCGTTGTCTGTGGCGCCACCGCGCGGTCCTCACGTGCGCGGCAGGAAGGCTTCTTTGGCCGTGAAGAGAAGAGTGAGGAGCAGGAGCAGCGGAGACACCACCAGGGAGCTGGCGCGTCCACACTTCTTCGGATCTTCCTGTAGACCCAAACATCAATCCATCGGTAAGAATTGATCTAGCAAAGCTACAACTGAGTAGAAACATTTGAAAGGTTGCTATTACTTAACTTTTTCTTTAAACTTTCCAGAATTGGAATAACAAGGGTCTCACCTTGGGATGGTAGTTGTAACATTTATCAGGGCGGCGGCGTACCTTCTGTGACAACCGTCTCTCGCAGAGCAGGGTGTCGTTAGAGCCATGTGCACAGCAGTAAAGGAATACAGACTAGGTACGGAATGAAATGTTCTACCACATAGTTTTCAATTAGTTATGAATATCGAAATGCATAGTGGTTAATGCAAAATCAATCAATGCCATCTTAATCGTTGGCGACTACTATAGCTAATGGGTAAGTTCACAATTTTCCATTTGCTATGCTTCACAAAGTCAGCTGATTCTAAAAGTATGAAATAATTGTAAGGATGATACGAACGAGGACTACACAGTTCAATCAAAAGCAAAGATGTCGAATCTATTCAATTAAAAGCAAGCAAATATCACGTGTTTATGTTGTTGTTGTCCCTATGACATCACCTATAATAAACGATGTAAAAATGCCATGACTTGAAGGATATAGCTGACTTCTTGTGGGTCCAGGTTGAAGTTGGAGACGAGGCTACAGGGGCAGCTGTTGTCCACAGCCAGCAGGATCAGGTTGCTGTTCGGCACAAGTTTGATGTTGAAGGCCCTGGAAAATATAAATTAGAAGTGTTCATCAAGTGTAGCCTTAACACTGATAACGAACAAAACGAGGAAAGGATAATTTCCTAGGCCTGCTCTGTCTTCTGATGTGCAGGAACCTTTCAATCCGTGCCATGTGTGGATAACGCAAGTACCGCTATATAATACGATATGAAATCATCCTGCTGTAGGCGATGTTAACTACGCGTAAGGTACTCACTTTTGGCATTCGTTACATTCGATGTAACCGTCAAATCCTATGTTTCCCTTGTTGAGAGAGAAGTTGGCCTTGTACAAGGTGAAGGCCTTGTCACATGGTGCATAGTCTGGTCCTGAACCTGCAACAGAACAGTATAACACACCGCTTAGTACACAGTCTTCCACTTGTACCTGATGTCAATGCTAGCCATGAAAGTTGTCTTTACTTTGATCAGTGCAGTGTTTCTAAGCGCTGTAAATTCCTAAGTCTAGCTGGTAGATAGAATATACTAAGGCGTCTTTGAAAAGCATCAGATGAACACACAGTAAAACATACCTGCTGACGTGTACTCAAACTGTCCTGACAGCAAATTGTACAAACTGAATTGTGCCAGAAGTCTGTAAAAAAAGACGGTAAATTGGTACATTCTACAACATACAGCAAAAGATTTAAAATCTTACAGTTTGAAAATATCCACTCGGGGTGTCCACATAAAACAAATCTCCTATCCATAATAAGGCAAGCAATGCTTCACCCAATGAGTTCTGTGAGTAAGCTTTTTATTTACTTAGCGAAAACGTACTTAAACCAGATACTTACACTGCTAGTTCCTTCGTCCACCACATGACGTAGCCTATCAGGTTCAGAATTGGCTGAAATACAATACACATTTAGATGCAGAATCGATTATAAATCATATCGATGACTATCCTTACCATTGTAACTCCACATTATCTGTGAAGATGAATTTTGTATTTGAATTTTTGAATCTGGAAATTTTAAGGTATGATATTGCCTATACATAAATATCTATATGCCATTATTAGAAACATTAATACTATCATATAGTTGTACTTACATTAAGTAAACGTGTTGCCGCAGCAGTGGAGTCAGCAGAAGTCGTTCTGCACATACCCTGGTAGTCGATGAGGTCAATCCTTCAGAAACAAAGACAGACAAACATGAGTCAGAAAACGCTCCTTTCTACAGCTACAGAAAGGGATATTCTAGTTCTAGTTCTCTATCAGTACGTATCATCCATGCTCTATCAAGTGCCCACCAGTCACAATAAAACGTTATGAGAAAATCCACTTACTTGTCATAGAGGTTGAGTTCTACCATCTCTGACATCATGGTCCCGTCGATCTCACCATAGAATCTTCCGATCTGAAAATATTTGAAAAGTCAGACGATTGACGTGAACCACATGTTTAACCAAAATCTGGTCCCATCAAAGAGCTGCAAAGATTTACTTCAAGAACTGTCGCTCGCCTTAATTACAACGAATTATTTCTTACGTGCTCCTGCTGTTCTGAAACAACGATGTAGCCTCCGTCATCCAACAGATAGCAGTCTAGATCCTGGGGGAGGGAAACATGTACAAGGTATGTTAAGTACTGGTTTTCACTCATAGTTTTCAACAATGAACTCCAGTACATACAGACATTGGTGGCTAACTATCAGGAATGTTCGTCTTAAGGCAGGTAGGTTGGAAGTCACAAATGTCTTAGCTCGAATTCCTTCAGGAGCTTACAAGGGTGTAAAATTAAGTAAAACTCACATCGCTTTCCTCACAGCCCATACAGTCCTGAGGACTGGTGCTGTCTGCACACTGTGTCAGAAAAAGATCGACAAGTAACAAAACTCATTCAAATATGTTAATAGACTAATGTATGAGCAAGTTACGGGAATGTACATGTAACTGGTATACTTTAAGTTAGACAAGTCCTCTAGTGTATACACATGTATCAACTTTATGCGTTGACAAATTACAACATATTGACTAATAGGCATATCTAAACAAGTATCTTAACGTTAGCTCCCACTATGGTATCCTTTAACGACTAGCTCAGGGGAAATCATCGAATCAAGTGTTCTTTGTTGCGGTAATTCTACCAACAATATGGTCTATGGGAATTGAAAGAACCTGAAGTAATTTTCTACCATTTCTATAATGTGCCTCGTTAAAATGGGCAAGTTTAACAACTTTGGGTTCCCTGCTGCTCCTCTAGCTGCCGTCCCACGGGAAATCACTGGTTCAATCATTGCTACGGTACTCTGCAAGAAAACTACATATAAACGTTTACATCGTGGCAGAGCCAAGGTGAAACAGACCACCTACCTGAGCCGTGGCAGCAAAGAACAGGTTACTGAACGATTCGTGGTTCATCTGAAGTCCGGCCACTGTTGAGGAAACACATCAAAGAGAATAGATACCATTGTCATGGAACTGATTACATATGTCATCAATCAATTATTGATCAATAAGCATTTGGGAATGCTATATTTCTTCTTCCATTAGTGTTGAGATGTCCTACCTGCAGCGACTGCCCTCTGCCCACCCTTTTGCAAGAAGATTGCGGTTGATGCGGTCACCACGAAGTTGGTATCATTGGACAGGCCTGAAAATGTATATCATTTTTAGTTTCCGTGCGAATACATTAGAAGATGATACGAACATTGTAGGCAGCTGGATTTGATTCCTGAAGCATCGCAATGAACATTCTATATGCTAGATGTCAATGGTGACCACAGAAACTGTATATATATAACGTTATAGCGAACCCAACATGTCTTCTTACCCTGATCAAACGGTACAGAATACACAAAGTAATCCGGTCCCAGCTCGGCGGCGCGCTTGTAGTACGTCGCCTGGATTGTGTTCTTGGTCTTGTTGATAAAGTCCCTGTGGAGACCGTGAAGGAACGGGTTGGACCGTGAATTGCCCAGGCTATCAATAGACGTGCGCTGTTAAGTGATGCTCTCGTGCTCAGTGATTCTCACAAACGTATAGCATTCCGCATTCCGACACATCCAATATCTGTCATGGCGTCATTCGTATTTCCTGCAATCAAAATCTAGTTCCGGTGGAACATATCCATTACTAGGCGAGGCGACCTCACTTGTAGAATTTCTTTATTTCCCCATATTAGATTATGAGTCTGTATGTGATGAAATGTTCCCAGTGACTCACCTCTCAGTCATCTCGTCAGGATGTTCCAGGTAGGAGTAGAAGCGCGTCACTCCTCCCTTGGTTCCTACGAAAACCTGCTGAATCCCATACCTTAGAGGCAAGGGCACAGTGTTACCCAGGGCATCGACGGATACAGAGGATGGACAAAAACTGTATATTTACTACATTTGAGTCACATATCCATGGTCACATACATGTATCAAGTACATGAAATTAGACAAACATTAGTATTGTAAAATGCACACAGCCAGCTGTTTTACACGCAGAGCATAGACAGTCAACAAGATACTACTGAACACTCAATGCGTCTTTTCTTCTCTTTCTCTGGTTCTTGTACGTTTAATGCCTTTCTAGAAGAGTTGTATGGCCATGTGTTTACCTCCTATATGGTACTACTGTCGTCAAAGTAGCAATGTTAGTAGGAAGATGTCTAAGGCTTAGCACCTGTTTATGAACAAAGCATAAACCTTTACAAGCGCAACACTGGAATGAAGTGGGACTTACCCCAAGTAGCAGTAGTCCGAATTCAGTGAACAATGTTGATGGAGTTCAGCCGAAAATTTTTGGGTAAGCCCCAATTCACTCCAGTGTTGGGCTTGTAACCTTTAGTTCGTTTTTCCTTATATCTGGTGAGGATAATGTATGTAGATTCATGATGGTGCCTCTACACCGTGCTGTGAATCACCTTCACCAATGAACAAGACCGTGATATCACCAGCACCGTGCGTTAGCTATAGTCTCATGTTTTCTCACCAAGGATAGGAGTTACAGGAGAGAGACAGAGAGAGGATAGATTTGCCAGGTGGCTACAGCCGTGCTGCGGTGAGTTACTCACTTGGTGCTATTCTCCTTTACAGCAACATCAACCCAGAAGGAATCCAGTACCTCCGTGATAGCAGCGTCGAACATCACGTGATCCACAAGCTCCCCGTAGCCTGAGGAAAAGGTGCATGACGTAAAGAACACCCAGAACTTAAGGTACAAGTCACTCACTTGTTACCTCTCCGCATCTGCGCCTTGTCGGTCCACACGCCCTCCAAAAACCATGTTTGTAGGGCATCGAATACCACCTGATCTACCGTGTCTTTGTTGCCTGTGGTGTGATTCGTTAACAGGAAGTAATGTGAAAAGGGAACAACAACAGGAGACTCTTGCGAATTCAATAGCAAAGAGCGTTTTGTCCTAAAATTGAATATAGACATTAAAATGAAATTTCATTTTTCGCTATTTGAAGCGGTGGTCAGCTGTAGTAATATCTGACAGTGAGTGTGAAGTAAACGTGCAGCTTACGATGTAACACAGCATACTGTCTGTGATTGTGAAGCTGTTTTTGTTCAAGCAAAAACATGGAAGGCGTCGTGAATGAACATCTTATACATAAATGTGCATTTTATGAAAATCAAATCAAATTGTTTACCCGAGTATCACATAACCGTATCTTACTACATCCAGCAAAGCACCTGCTTATTATTGAAGGCATATCTTTTTGAATATCTTTTATAGTTAATTCAGTAACCAATGGCAAGGAAAAACTCACATTGTTTCGCAATGACCATGTTTTTCCCGTTGTTCTTGTTCTCGTTCTCCAGATACCTGACGATGGCGTCCAGTTGGGTCATGTTGTTCGCCTCAGCAGTGGTGAGCTGACAATACTTCCTGTACGGTACAGAAACACACGGTTTGTAGATACTACTGACGTGGCTGTTTAGCATGCACAGCCAGTGCTGCACAACTGTTATACACAACTAGCCTGTGGCTATTTGCAAAGGACTAGCCCTTCTGACAAAGACAAGCATTACAATGGGATATGACATGGACAGCATAACAGTACCTGCATAACAGTACGTACATGTACCTGCTCACGTTAAAAGGCACATAACATTTCCCAATGTCAAAACGTCTAATTCTTATTCGAACTGAATCAAAGGATAATGATTAGGGTAATTGCGTTGACAATGGATTGTTCTCACAACGACACGATGCCGGAAGAGTAGGGCGGTCTACGAGTGGGGTGTGGGAAGAGTAGGGAGGTCTACGAGTGGGGTGTGGGGAAGAGTGGGGAGGTCTACGAGTGGGGTGTGGGGAAGAGTGGGGAGGTCTACGAGTGGGGTGTGGGTATCTGCTTCTAACTTTGTACATTTGGATATTTTGTGAGTGTGAATTGCATGATATCGGTACCATTTAGCCAGTACTGGCCCCGTGGCTCCTTTTCGAAGTGGATCAAGACCTGTGAGGAAATATAATCACATATAAATGAAAAATTATCACATGTTATCCATGGTCAAATACCAAAAAGTATGTTATTGATGACTTTATTGGCTAGTTTAACTATGCAACGTAGCGACATGTCAAAAGGTTATCAATACATTTATTATATAAGGTTTCATAACCTTTTATCGCACATAGATTACCATTTGATAGATATTCAAGCGAAAAATTGTAGTTTCATCGTACGAGGGTTGCTGTTATATGTGTATAGATAGTATAGTTACAATACATGACAGGGGCCTTTCTATATACTAGACAGAAGTAAAAAGTTCTCAGATAGAAAAAGCAAGAGTTTGCACAAAAATGGCACACAACTAGATTGGCTCGGGCACCAAGCATGCAATAAACAATGGTCATTTCATGATTAAACAACTTAAAAAGACGCTTAAGCTTATTAAGCAGGCGATCAGGATGCGTGTGTTGTCAGCTCCTGCAGTGGTTCTTTATTCAGTCTCCGCGCAAGTCGTTTTTAAACAGGCTGTGCAGTTGGGCGGTAGTTTCTGCAGGCAAGCTAAGCACCAGATAATAAAACGTTTCCTTTGCAAATTATTGAAAAAAGGGTACATAACCGACATTGGAAGACGGGCTAAAATTTATATAAGTTTCAGAATGTAAAAAAATATGAACGAAAAATGACAAACTTATGATATTTTTTAAGCCTGCTGGTAGGAGTGGTTTCCTTCTCCTTCGTCTTCCAAAAGTGTGCAACACAAATAAATGCTTTAAAAATTTTACAAACAGAACATATATGTAATTCGTCCAGTGTGCAGTGATCTAAGACATCGTGTCTCAGCTAATAAAACCTGTTTCACCACGTACCATTTCTTCTCAGCATTCCTGTATGTGACGTGTGTGAGGGTGAGGAGAGCGTCAACAACAGGACAGTACTTATCATCAACCAATCAGACAAACGCCCAGAGTGTGGAAAGTACTGTATGCATCAAGTTGAGCTCGGTGGTCATTTTATGAGAGAATACAAAAAAATCCCGATGACCTGCTTTAACGTAAGTTATGTTTAATAAAGATGATGTATGATGATTAAGAAGACATCTTACCTTTGCTCCTATCTTTTACCGTTCCTTGGACGAAGTATTGTCCATAAGGACGGGGAATCGCAATGCCCAAGCTTTGAGATAAACACAACACATTTATTTAATTCTGTTACACAAAATGAGAAAATAACGCGAAATATGTATACGGCCCCAAATGGATAAAATACTAGTAGTAAGGTACAAGGTATCCGGACTGTGCATGGTAGCATCGAGGAAAGTATCACGACAACACGGTTGATATTGTTTGCGAAAATAACACCAAATAGACTAGCAAAGTACCAGCAAAAATTAGAAGCTACAAATAGTACATAAAACTTACCTGAAGGGAGTTTCGTCTATTTTTGTGAAGTAGTAATCATTTATGTGGACCATCACTCTTTTCTGTAATAAAGATAAAGACACAGATGAGGGAAGGGAGGGTCTTCTATTGCTTTGTATGTCATTCAAGTCACTGGAGTCACTTTCATGTGATTCACCTGCTTTTCTTCAAATGCTCAGGGCTATCAAATAGAAATAAGGACAGAAAAGTATCTAGTACGATTTATGAGTACAACAATTTTATGGGAGAGTCATTTATATGTAGTATATTGTATACAGTATACTCACCATGTTGTCCAGGTGTTCTTGAACTGTGAAATTTAGTTCTCCCGTCTCACGTTTGACCATGCTGGTACGTAACTGAGAATCAAAAGACACACACGGCATGGTTACATCATGCCGTGCGCATGAACTGGTACCCGGTCAATTTCATACAGAAAGCATAGAATGATATTGCGGTCAACAGGAAAGGAGATGTGGTATAAATCAGGTGCTTGTTTCAGTATCCACGCCTTCACAACCATTCGTGAAAAGCCGTTTCAACGTTTGGTTTTTTGGACGTGTTTGTGCATATGATGATGAATCTCAAAATCGTCCTGAAAACCTATTAATTTTGTAAAAAAAAAAGACCATGGAATTCTCCTTACTTTCTCTTCCGCGTCAGAAATTTCGACTTCACCTAAATCCACGCTGTTGTAGTTGGGTTTGGTGATCGCATCTCCTCCTGGATCCATGACAACCTTGGACAGAACACACGTGAAAATCAGATTTCACACATATGAAATCTAAACGTAAGAATTTTCACATCTTTACGTCACGTTCTCAAGCCACACTTGACGCTTGTACAGAATGGATATATCAAATTGCAAACCAATCAAACAGAACAATTAAAAACAGTAAGTGAAACTCTTCACTATTTTCATCGACGACATTTTACGAAGTAAACGAAGACGATCGACAAGTACTAGTAAACAAACATGATTACCGTTGGTCGAAGGTCTGGATGGGTCAGGATGTATCCGTTGTTGGTGATGACAAAGGCGTAGCCATTCACACCCATCTACGTGACAGTGGTTAGGCACAAGAGCGGTCTACAGGACTGTCCTTTAAGTACATGTCTACTACCGGTATACCACTACGGTGTCAACCATTCTCCAACGTATCATTTTGAATTTAAACTATTCAGTACAAAAACGGCCACATGTTATCAACGATGTCAGGAAACACGACAAAAACTCACATCATCTCTCAAGACACAACAAACAGCAATTATTATCAGGTATTCAGCAACAGTTTCAATAACGATAAAAACAAATGCTGTGTACGGCTTTGGTTTTATATAGGCGCCACTATGACATTCATATGAGATCCATACAGATCTACACAAAACTCGACAAGAAGCTGTCAAAGAGTGCTGATCTGACCTTGAGCGGCGGAGCGAGCTTCATCAGCTCACTCACGGGGACATCAATCCCCACAACTCCGAGGAGATTTCCTTCTAAACTCTGTCAAAAAGTTTAAAAGAAAAAAAGTATTAGAAGATATATTTACCGTTTACAGTGCTGAGAACAGAAGATGTTGCAATCCAGGAGCTTTGAAATACATCTACATGTATCTATTTACACATTATTTGTGACGTCTTGTTTATCTTTCGCACGGTTTTACTTTGCTCAAAATTAAAAGTCATGGAGATTAAAATCATCGATTTTTTCCACATATTTCGATAAAATACGTTACCAAGCTGTGAAGAAAAGCGTTTTAGCTGTTACATATGTGAAGCATACATCAACACTCGGTTAGATCGGTGGACAGTGACATTCTGGGATGATTGTTAATGATGTTGCAAGGTGTAATTCAGAATCTGTGGTCCGGTGGGGACAGGAATGTTTGTTGTGTGTTCGGGAATGCTGTTGTTTGTGTGTTACCTTTCTGCACCCTGAAAATGATATGTTAGTTTGAATGTGGGTATTGTGTTTCTCGTCGTCGGTATGTTTCAAGCCGCTTGGAGTTTAGACGCGGTCTGGAACGTAGAATTCATTCATTTGCATGTGATTCTTCATATATTCTTCATATATTATTTTAATCTTGTATCAGTTCCAGTGCACACTTTTCGAAAAATCTACATCCGTACTTGCAGCAATTATTTCCCTACATCGCGTTTTTTAAATATTTTCCAACTAAGTGGCAAAGCATCTTTGTATGAAAATTAGAAAGTTTCGTGAAAATGAAAAAAAAATCAATACAAACTAAGTTATGACTTAATTCATCTACGAACGTATAACGGATGCGTGCACGAATCCCTATGCGGTAGAAGAATCTTAGGGAAAAATTGATGATTATCAAAAAAGATGATGCAACGAAGCGATCACAGAGAAAGGGGATGCAACAGTATCATAAGTGTTCAGAAAATTGGCATAAGTAAAGAAGTGTGAATAATATCAGCATATTTGCTTCTAAAGCTTTCAACATCTGTGTCGAACATTACACCGCTCCAATTGTCTGCAATATATTTCATTTTAATCTCAGGAAAGCACAACCGAGTCCTGGCTGCACAGGTAAATGTATAGTTCTGATGTCAATATCATTTGGATGTCATGGATAGCCCCCAAAATAAATAAAAGTTACATATTACTCCACCTTAGTGATCTGCAAGGCCATTGCAATAGATTTTTGTGCTTTATATGAAACAAATTAAGTATTGATTTTGTTAATTCAAGATATGCGCGCATTTGAAGGAAAGGACCAGATGGTAGGGAGACTATAGAGTGAGACACATGATTGTGATCATATGTCTAATTGCTGAGGTATTCTTACCTGTACACCATGATGCAAGGTAACATTTCACCATGACGGGAACGAAATACATTGTTCCGTGTACATGTTCCAGAATGTGAAGATAACAAGCTACATCTAGCACGTTGAAAAAAATCTGTGTGAATCTTACCGTTTTATTCCTCATGTCAAACACGGGTCGTGCAACGGTGGTCATCAAGGCTAGACCCTATGGGAAAGCGTGAAGTAAATTGGGGAAGAGGAAGAGAAATATGTTAGAATGGAACCACAAGCAGATGTGTATCATCTCCTGGGTGATACTCACATGCTGTCTATAATGGCACACTGTCCAACCATCACCCAAACATCAGTCACTACCCTTTCCAAACTTTCCATGCATTTACTGTTCATATCTATGGTGATAGGCATGCTATGATGCAACATATTTAGCGCATACAGCTGAACATTTGTTAGTGCGTAGCTGTACCTGCAACTGCTTACCTCTGGTCTCCACACTACAGTTAGTCCAAGCAAATACCTTCACTACTCGACAATGAAACTAGGGTGCCCTAAGATGTATATAACTTTCCCTGGTTTAAGATATCAGTATCCTTAGATACTGAATACAAACGAAATCAGGTATGAAAATATATCTGTTTGCCAACAGAATGACGTAAAAACAAACTATCCGAAAATACTTTATTGATGATAAGAGTCATATAAACAAAGGCACTATATTCGGTAAATAAGTTGGGTAAGTTCGTACCGCGTGGTACGTCTTACAAATTTCAAAAGACTAACAATAAGATTCCACTGGACATCATTTCAGAAATAAGATCTGATAGTCAATATTGTAGTACGATTTGGTAATGAAGTCAGACGTTCATATGTCTAAAAGATAAAAGTCCATAAATGAACATTACGAATATGATAAGTACTCTCCCCAACAATCGTTTTCCTTTATGTTAATATGATGTAAGTTGATAATATCACAGAAACATAAAGAACAGAAAGTAACTTGTTTTTCAGCTACACAAAAAAAGTAGAAGTCTCCTAGAAAGATATCAAATTTGGATAATGAAAAGTGACAAGGGCGAAACGTTGGAAAAGAGCAGAGTAAAAGATAAGAATTAAAGTATTACCTCTCCGGTGCTCTTCAGTTATATGGATCGCATTTTTCAAAATGGTAGCAAGAGAGAAGAGTGATTCATATCTGGTCTAGATGACGTAATATGGGTTAGTAGGAAGACAAGAGACCGAACAGCTCCGCTGGGTCGGGCTGTCCCGCACGCCAACTGCGCATGCTCCACAATTCCATCCCAGAATTCCATGCTGCGATGCTTATGAGACAACATTGACAGCCACGCTTTTAGTACAGGACTGGACAACACACAGACACACACGAGGACAAACACATGTATACGAGTATACGTCATGGATGCACTCGTGTGCAATTATACAAGTGTGCATCACAATAAAGCCGGGGGAGTTAGTTGGTCGACCGTGGGGGAAACCAGTAGGGTCATTACCAACAGTGGAGCAGGCTTGGAGGGGCCAATTAGGTCGTACATTCAACGTTCAGACTTGTCAGAAAAACGGTTGTTAGTCACAAAAGACATCTGCAGTGTTAAGTGGATGTTAGCTTTGCGTCTATCAAATGTTGCAATCGCATTTCATCAGAAGGATAAAGAATGTAGAGAGAGCAGAGAAGGGACAGAGACGGACAGGACATTTCATGGAGAAGGCATGCCGCTGTGATGGGTGAGCTAAAATGACATTTTCTAACAAGTTATCACTTTGTGCAGTCTCCGGTTTTGCATCTCAGGCAGTAAGTTAGGTTTGTCAAGCGTTGTTGCATCAGCGCAGTCAGAAAATGTAGGCAGGCAGATTCTACACGTATCTGGAGCTGAATCTTTGATGAGCTGATAAAGGTTTGATGTTGCCAGAGGTCTACACTGTCGTGCCAGGTTTATGACTTCGACACATCGTGAAGGAAAGTGGTCGTAAAGATTCACTGTCGTGTGGTGAAGGCAGAGACTTCTACATACATTAATGTAATCCTCTGTCCTTGTCTTACCGACAGGCACGCTAGTGGATGATTTAGTAAGAGCACGCTACGTTAAATTCATTGACGTCTCTTTGACTAAAGGACGTTTAGCTCATAAAAAGGAGGTTCGATTCCTTGGTTACATGCCTCGAGTTTCTTATTCCATAAACCAAAACTAGTTAATAAACACGCGAGGTTCTTTACATCCCATTATCATGAGCATGAACACTACCAACTCCTCTACTGGGTCAGACTATGGTTTATTGTTACGACCGCTGTTATGTGAGGATCCTCATGCCTCCATGCATTGATGCATGAAAGGTCTAGTCTGTTCCTGACACCTTACCTCCGCGTACTTTTGTAACACTTCCTTGTATCTTCCCTGGCAGAAACAAACAAGCAACGAATGGTAGAATGTATGATACCCTAGTGTATATGGCAGGAGTTGACCATAGTCAAAACGTTAATCAGAAAACAAAACATAGTACACAAAAAGCGTCAAAGCCTTTGCTTGAGTACATGTCAACTGTTGCATCATTTCAATGGGCGGCAGCAGTTTATATGTGCTGCCTAACACGTAGCGAATCCAGTCTTTGGCCAAGCAATGGACGAAAAGCACATTTTAGCTCACATCACAGCCACATGGGTCACAATCAATGCTGAAATAGAAGCCATGATGACGCAATACAATAGACGAGAGTGACAGAGATCACACAGAGTCGAATAGAAGAAAGAAGAACAGAATTTGTTGTACATCATCGACTGCTATAGTGTGATGCACAATGTATAACCGTCCCACTGTGAAGTTAACAAACCTCACTAACCGAGCTGTCCATGTAGACGTTGGTCCAGATTGTTCCATGGGCTCTTCTGATAACCATGGGGCGGCTAAGCACGTGGATGTATTTCTACAGGAAGAGGCAAGGCATGGTAATGATAGTATCACGGCAGTCGACATGTGGGGTACATACCGGGAGAACACAAAGATCTTGTAGAAAGTCTTCTCAAAGTGTTGATCCTTTGTTGGGAAAAATGTTGAATTCGTAGCAATTTTAGACGCCTGGCACATTTGAGCTTTTGTGTACAAGGCCAAATGTGCTGAGCAAAGTATACCAGTATGTACAGATGTGGCGGTTATGTGAATTTTCGGTTGTCCGTAGGATGTAACCCCGCAATACATACACAAGACAGAATTCGAAAACTGTACACGAAGTCAAAAAATGACACAAAATTCAATACGATCTCGTAGCATAGTATGAAACAGTATGTCACTTATTCACAAAACGCATCAAGTTGCACATGCATGCAAGCTAGATAGAGCAATTGGTTCAACTGTATGTTGATAGAAATGTCAGACTTACCATGACGTTCTCTTGTACATCAGCCAGTGTGGCAATCTGGGTGTAGTAACCTGACAAGTTGCATAATAGCCATACACAAAGTAATCAATGACAGGTTTGAATCCGGTAATTTCAATGATTTCATTTAACCGCATGTACACAGTGGTTTGAAGTTGCAGTATGGATGGTGTGTAGACGTCTCTGCTGAAAACATGGCTAATACGTGGCCCAATGCCCTTATAGAATATAGCCACAGCACTTCATCCCTTTTAACTACGGTTCAACAAGACCTTAACAAACATCAGGATAAACCTGCAGCTGCAAACAACAAGTCCTTCATTGTAAATATTAGCTCAAAATTGTTCAAAATTGCAGAAGTCAGACATAAGAAAATCCAGTGAATCTGATTTGAAGAAAAATCTCACCCTTGTTAGCGCAGGCCATCCACTTCACCGGCGCAGACTCACCAACTTCGCGACCAATCAGATAGCTGAATACGCGAACCTATTGAAATGGACCCATGGAATTCACACAGAACAGTCAGCTTACAAACCCAACTAAACTACACACGGTCTTGTGCTCCGATGAGAACAAAAATACATAAGACAGATGTGTGGAACTCTAGGTAGATTTTCTTATTCTGTCTACTCGACTGCATGTGGGTATGACTACGAAACGAAGCGGAAATGGAATAAAACAAAGGCAGGGAAACAAGAGGTGTCAAACACATTGAACACATGAAAACTTACTACAAGGAAATCGATAGTCATTGTGAAGCTACACTAGTGTTACCAGTAGCCTACCCTTCTGTCGGGGTGGTTATAACGCCGGAATAGCTGCTCGTAGTTCCGCGGGGCTCCGTCCGTGATCACCATGATGGCCTGGTTACACCACGACCCCTGGCCGGTGTTGTTGAACTGCAGGTATAAAAGAAAGTAGAGCATGTTTGCTGCCGTTGAGTCTACTGATACATAGTTTATAATAATTGAGGAGGCATACCATCGCGCGACCTAAAAGTGCTGCAGCTATACAAATATTAATCATGACATTGAAACAAAGAGAATGTCTCTACATTTACTTGACATCTGAAAACAAAATCACATTGAAGCAAAGCAGACTACTTTAACGTTTGATAACATTAATTCTAAAGGAATACTTACGTCACGGAGCATTTGGAAAGCCGTGTCCAGGGAAATTTCAAAATTTGCCATTCCGTCGGCCTCAAGCTGCTGAACTCCATTTTTCAATAACTCTTTGTTGTCTGATGTAGCTTGCACCAGCGTGCTCTCAAAGCACTTCTCGATGTAGCTGACCTCGTTGTTAAACTAAGGACAACATAAAAATGACATGGTCATTTCAATTACATTGCGAAGATGGACAAAACTGCAAACTACGATTGCACACAAGTTTTGAGGTCAACTGCTTGTGATCAAACGTAGTCTGGAGACTATTGACACTCCCTTGCTTTTTGGAGAAAATACGTATAAGAAACTATTGGGTTCAAAAAAGTCAACCTTCTAGATGGCATGAAACTATGTTGGATTCGCACAATGGCAAAACAAAACTGTCTATTATATGTAACGGAACTCACCGCTATGACATTGAAAAAGTCGTTGTCTGCAAGTGTATTGATAATGGTGTCGACAGTTTGTTTGGCGATTTCTAACCGAAGCCCCTTCATGCTCCCGCTCCTGTCCACCACGATTACAATGTCCTTGGGGGACGTGGCAGCCTGGATGTACCTGGGAGGGATGAAAAAGCGATGTTTCAGCATGATAACGGTACTAAAATATGCACCATTAACTGTCCTAATACTAAAACGACATGTAACTAGAAGGGTAACATTTGCAAAGCAAATGCATAATGTTTACCTTCGCATATGGCCTGGTCAGTTAATTCTTACTCTAACACATTCATATTATATGGTCAGACAGGAATCTAAATGCCTCCTGCTGGAAAATTGCAACATGATGGAACCCAACACTAGTTACCATGGCAGCAGACTGTCTGGTTCAGGTCATTGACCTTATTGGATCCTTCGGTAAACATAATAAACAGGAGAATATATGACAGCAATGAGCAAGCGTCATTCAACAAAAGCGGAAATACTAGTACCCACCATCCTCTATTTCTACAGTCGTAATCATCAATGCCGTTCGGTGCAGGCGTCCAGGCAATACCTATTGTAAGAGAACATAGACACCAATGTCTTTTACATGTATTACTTCACGTTTACACGAAATCAACCAGTCATTGAAGTACTAGTTACAGCTGACCAGTAAGTAAACGTTTTTGTACAACATTGTAGTTACTTACTGATATACTAAAGGTAACAAGAATAACTTATACTAAAAGTATAAGTTAGAAGAAGTATGTCTGAATGATTCCTGCTACCTTTAGTATGGTCAGGATGGTGTAAAATTCTCCCGAAACCATTGTCCAGTTTGACCCTTATAAAGAACATTATGCTATTACGTAGAAATAATGACTTATGTGAGGCATATTTTGCTCCTAAAAGGGACAGAAGAGGTAAATATAACATGCATATGATCGGGGTTCCTACCTGGATACTGGCGGAAAAACCCTGTCGAACTGCCGAAGTACTGCCATGTTAACGTCGGGTCCATTTTACCGTTCTCTATGAAGACAGGGTCGAGTTTCTTGGACCACTTGACGGCATTCAGCACGTCTGGAGCTATGAGAGAACAGAGACATGTCATGCAGGTACAGAACGACTTCGGACTGAACGTATCACTGACATATTACAGCTTTGTAATTCAAAGTAATTAACAAGTCAAATTAATTGAAGGCTGCTACTGTATGATATGTATTGGAAATGATGTAAATGAATAAACCATTCATTATCAATAAGCCGAGTATGGTGTTGATGACAGACCTTCATTGTACACGTTGACCGGCACCTGTACATCGCTCAGCTCCATGTTGACAGGGATGTTGTTGAAATGCTCGTTCTCCTTCAGCTCGAAGTCCGGAGCCAGGCGCGGGTGGGCGGGTTCGCCCGTCTCTTTATCCTTCTGGTTGATGAGCATGGCGTTCGGATACTCATACTAAAGGAGGAGAGGTACAGAATCATTACTTTTCCGTTGCACGTTTTTGATATGAGGGTTTCGTGAGGTAAAAGCTGCTGCGCCTATGGCGCACTTTGTGCATATCAGAAATTGGCAATGGTTTTTCCTTACTTATAATTACCATTAACGTAAAGCACAATCATAATGTCTTTTGATCAGTTTGAAATTGAACCTTGTTGTCTAGACTTGAAGAAGAGGTGACAACAACCGCAAATACAAAAGTAACAAGGTATTACGTGGGTTAACTTATGATACTTACTACTCTCATTTACATATCTACGTTTAGTGGTAGTATATACTAGTGCTTACTCTTAGTCCTTTATAATCGTGTTAAATGTTAATCGTGATTAAAGTTAGTATCAACCCACATAAAGTAAGAATGGTGCATGGTCCAAGTAGAAGTGATGAGTGTTCAATTTTATGAAGTAGACATGGACATGATAAGAATTTAAACAAGTTGAAGACAAACAACACAAGGCTGGAACGTGCACCATGTGTAAGTAGGGAATTACAAATTTTAGTATTAGATAAAGTGGAATAAGTTGAGAGTTATTCTACTATGCACTGTGGCTGGGATATTTGGGGAGAAAGGCAATTAAAGAAAGGCTTTAAAGGTATTTCTGCTCATCCCTCGATTCACAACATAGAATCCAACAGCAGATTACAACATATTCTGGAATTCATCAGATGTCTTTATGAATAGAATCCAGGGACAATACTGTGGAGTTACATCTAACAGAGGACTGCGTGTTGCTGACTCCGCCTTTTCATTTTGTACTGATTTTAATTCCGTCTAAATTGCTTGAACATGTGGCCAGTTGAATGATTCTCATGGGTAAAATACCAATTATATTTTTTTAGATAAGGCTACACCGACTTAATTTTATGGATGACATCCGCGCGCGCATTGATTTTCGCCTGTTCTCCAAAAAAAAAAAAAGATCACGTCCTCCAAGGCTCTGGCCTGGCTCTAGGCTTGCGTAGTCCATGGTAGTTAGCGACAATACGGTGGCGGTAACTTTAGAGGATGGCACCCAGGCTACTAACGCGAAGCTCCACGACTCAAGAACTCAGTACATTCCGCAAAAAGCCAACATGTGCCGGCTTGTCGTATACGTCCCTATGTACTGCCTCAAATTCACAATACGATCTTTGTATTCCTGTGGTTTAGTAGCATTTTTATTTTTGGCCGGAATTTTTTTTATTCGCCCGCGCGCACTAGTTTGGGGGTCTTCAGAGGATGTCATCCATAAAATTAAATCAGTGTGGCCTAAACATCATTTGTATAATGAGCATGACCTGTTAGACATGTCTAGCATATGAGTTTTTCTGTGGTTCTCCCCAACTTCTAACACGTTTTGGTTCAGCTCAAAGAAGCACAGCACAGGACACGCTACTTCAGAACTACATTTGAGTAGGAAAGCGAAGCGGCCAGGAAGTTTCGCAGAGTTTTGGACAGACAGAGCAAGTCCTGAGTGCTTTTTTCGTGGCTTTCTATACTCACAGGAGTTGTCGTCGTGGACGGGCCTAACGATGTTGTATTTGTTGTAAAGAAGTAGTACGTTGTCTTTTCTTGGCAACGAAAGGCTCGTTTTGCTGGAATTTTAAGCTTGGGGCGTAACATTGCATCGATTCTGTCGAACAGTCGGGGTTTGTCTATTTTCACAGTTTTCTGTTAATAAGAGGGGGTCAACATTGTTGTAACAATAAATGAAGAAAAATAGAAATGAAATGTGAAAAATACACAAACATGCATGGTGCGTTAGTGCTGAAGTCGGTTAGATGAACACAATATTTTACTAAAGCTCTTAGCACTGAAGCATTTCATATAAAGCAATTCCGTGCAAAACTAAAGACCGCCTTTAAGTACAGTCCAAGCTTTGTACAGCAAACAAACAAACCAAACCAAACAAACAAACAAGCCGACACACATATGACCAAACCACAAGCAAAATGGTCAACAAATAACAGTGTAACCAAATCCTTAGCTTCGCGAGTCTAGATCTGTACACACACACACTGCCGCAACTTGAAACTAAACAGAACTTACCACAATATCCTTATCGTAGTTGTGATTCATGTTGGCTAGTTCTGCTCGGTTCGACATTTTCTGGAACAAAAAATGAAATTATTAGTGAATAAAGAAACCAGTTTTGACCTATCCGAAACAACCATGGCCTTTGAATGAAACCTAACGTTCTTCATCGGTAGAGTAATCTGACCAATACTAAATATTATACATACATTTACTCATCTATCACCTGGCAGGTGCCTTTTGTAGCAGAATGGCATTCTCAATTTCACATAAACAGGCGGCAGTAAATATCACCAGTGCCGGTATGTGTCTAACATAGCCACAATGTGTAAACTACGAGGATACGAGGATTACATTGAGGCACTGAATTTAGTCAACGATACAATAGTAGAGACCGTTATGAAGCCACATCGTACAAGCTGAAGTACCGTCATCTCTATTGATTTGCACATAATGGTTACACAAGCCCCATGTTATTGGAAACCAGTCTGACGATCTAACGGTCTTTCCCATTAAAATGTAGAACTCAAGGTAAAAATTAGAAGATGCAGTTTTGGAGATAGAATTGAAGTAAGTTCTTATTGCTTATTATACAAAAACGTCATAGCTACACTTGCATCCACACACACAGTTTTATTGTTTTCAAGTTTGACATAACAGGTCCCATCAGTTTAAGCAGTTACACGATGGTCAGATTTGGGCCCAAAAGTCCCACTCCGCTACTATGGAGATCGAATCCCCCGAACCCGCGAATCTTGTTCGATATGACGTCATTCGAATAGAGCGGGCGTTCGATCTGGGGTTACCCGCGGTCATTTACAGTAAAGCCGCTACAACCGGCTACTTCAAGCCCTTTTTTACTTGGGAACCACGGAACAGGAAAAACCCACCTTTCCACAAATATAAACCGTTTTCAAAACATTACATCTATGCCGTGATTTTATTGTGGATATGTAACATGTAACGAAGCTACTGCCGTCATCGTGGGTGACCTTGAAGGTCAGAATTCTTGTTGACGCTGTTATAAAATCCAGGTCCCCATATGCATATCCAAGTGGCACAGCATGCGTGCAAACATGGTATTTTAACCATTCCCAAAAATCGCTCAAATTACCTCATTGAGGGCTTGTTCGGAAGAGGAACGATTTCCGCAGATTTCTGTCTTAGGGATTTTTTAAATATGGCCGCGATTATGAATTATCGGTATTTAAAGTTAAAACACTGCGTTTTTTAGCTCTTCTTTTGACTGTAAGTCGAGTTTTAGTTA